ATAAAAAAACTGGACCAAACAAACCTACCAAAAAATCCCACCCTTTTTTCTGTATAAGCTGATTAATAGGTGTTAATAAAGAAGATAGAAGAGTAAGGTGATAAGGAACGTGTGATAGCGACTCTGAGTCTTTCACTAGGCAAAGATTGAATTTGGGAGAATATTATTGGTGTCTCCGTTGCCATTTTTGAGACAATAGAACAGTGAGTTATTTGTAAATTGTGAAAACTTTAATAGTATTATTGTCCTTCTCATTTGAGTTATTTGTAAATTGTGAGAACTTTAATAGTATTATTGTCCTTCTCATTTCAAAACATTAAGATATAAACTAATTATGAAATTATACAATATTAAAATAGGTTGAAATGAATCGTACAGTTTCTACTTCAGAGTAATTGTCTCAAGGTGCCTAGAGATTCAGCTTTAGTACAGTAACTCCTGAGTATGATCTGTGTAATGAAGAGAGCATTCTTCTTAATTTTTCTTCAATTTTTAAAAACCTGTGTGGTCCTATCACAATGCAGAGTCTGGCTAAACCTTGGAAGATCCTGTACAAGCGAATCTCTAGCAAGTAACTTTGGGAAGGTGTTGCTTCTTATGAATCAGAAGGTATTGATAGTGTCCAGGATTATCTCCAGGTGAAAGACGTGGACAGGATGTTGTCCTGTTGACAAAACAGCCTCATAGAAGTCAATCTCATATTTTGAAAGATAGGTGAATTGGTGGGGGATGGAAGTTCTGACTCCAACAACGTTTAGGGCACAAAATAAATAACGGAGCTGTTTGTATCTTCTAAAGCTGTTGAATAAAATAGTTTGGAAAGTTTCAATTGGAGGAGGTCTGAGTTGGCACGATTTTTATAGAATACTGTACTGTTGACATTGTTTCTCAAGTCCTCAACTCTAGAAAAAGTGTGCTTTGCTTCCACTTTGTTCTAAATATCCTGCCAATTTTGAAACATGGATAAAAGTAGCTTTAATATTCAGCCTTTGGTTTCCAATAAAGGGCTCACAATAGCAGTATAATTTTTGCAAACTTTTGTGCTTAAAGTTGTAGACAAACCTTGCTATAAACTACTCAGTAGATTTGCTAGACAAGCTTGTGATTGAGTGCTATGTATGCTTGCCTTTTTGCTTCCACCTAGAATCCAGGGCCATTACTTTCTGTAACCATTTCAGTGAGCTGCCATAGTTTTCAGTCTGTACTGTCACCTGATCCAAGCATGCGCCAAAATACCCACCGTTTCTGGCTACTGTCTGCTGAATCTGCTTTGCAAACCCTTAGTTCTTAAGCTTTTGCCTTAGCAAAAAAAAAAAAAACCAACAACAGACACTCTTACGGAGTGTACTGGACACATGCCATCCTGCTTCCCTAACTCCTCTAATTGTTTATGTAAATCCTTAGCTTTACTAAACTTGTAAATGCTCCAATGGCATCCCCGTGTGAAATTGTGTGGCTCATGTGTCAAAAAAAGGCTGCTTGTGAAAATCTTTGTCAGAAGAATATGAATGCTACACATTGCACTGCATTCAGTGTTTTGTATCAATTTCTTATTGCAATGTCATGGTGTTTGATTTTAATTGTAGACAATCATTTTGTGTTTTAATATGCAAAGGTAAGTTCATGTAAACTGTGAATGTACAGTATTTATATATAAAGATACTGCTTCGTATTTTTGGCCTCTTTCTGGAAGAAAAAATACTCAATTAATTGTCATAAGCAGAGGACCCAGTCTTCTTTACAAACACTTGTTTATGCATGACTCGTATAGAAATTTTTGAACTTGTGCAATAAGTTTTTTTTTTGATTTTTTGAAAGATACTGGGCCTGATCCTGTTAACACTGAAGACAATGGCTGGAAAATTGTTCTTATCTCTAATAAGAATGAAAATGATCCCTTATATTACTCTAGTTAATGGTTTTGTTTATTCTGACGTTGAGCAGATTTTCAGAGTAAAGGGTTAAATGTTGCTTTAGTAAGACATAGTGATGTAACCTTACAATAATGTCTGCTTTCCCTTATGATAAGGCTTTCTTGTAGATAAGTTAGGGGAGAAAATTGTCTTAACTCTCTTACCAACTTGTTCCTAAACTCAAATTTAAACAATAAATTCCTGTGGAGGCAAGTTAAACGTTTGCATACAGTTTGGGACCCGTCACTATTTCTACCTTTTCTGTTCCCTTAAGCATATCTGTTCCCTTTCAAGATCCCATTCTATTTCAGTTTTTACTGTGGCTACATACCTTTTCAGTGTCATCTTCTTCTTATTTGTAGTCTTGATTCCACAGCACTTTCCCCGTCCATCCCCAGTCACTTCACCTGTTGCTCACTTTCATCTCCTTTGTCACGACTTCACATTTTCTTGCGCTTTTTGTCATAGAAAGGTCATTGGTGACAAGTAGGAGCAGGTTTTGCCAAATAGTACCGAAGGGTGTGAAAAGTGGTTATTTAGAAAAATTGGCTTTTTTTTTTAATCTTTGCTTATGTCTAGAAAAAGGTTACTTCTCCTTTGCAGGCATTTTTCTGTGAAGTGCAAAAATCTGTGTGGCTGATCAGTCATTTATTTATAGCCAGCTGTCTGTGATCAAGTCTAATTGGGGAAGAATTGTTCTGCATAGTCAGTGAACCATTTTTCCTACTACTTACACTTCCCTGTTATAGAGAAAAACACCCATTGATAAGCAATCTTTTTGTCCAGGATTGCCTGGGGAAGGAGGAATTGCTCCCAAAGATCCCTGTCCCTTCCACCGTGAAGTGTTTAGTGCTAACATTCACTGAAGGTGCTGGTGGTCTCATCTCCCACGCAGCTCTGTATTTTGTCAGATGTTGTTGCTTTTTGCCTTAAAATGGATTTCCAAAGTTGCTCCTTTCACCTCCTTCAGTGGTGGCAGCCATGGCAGCCTCTGGTCAGAGATGTATATGCAAAGGAGAAGACATTTCACCTCCCTCTTCCCTGTGTGCCTACTGCCAGTGGGTCTCATGGCTCAGCCTGGGAGCTCCAGACCTATGGCTTATTTCTCCATCATTCTCAGCTCTTGAAAGCTGAAAAGTGGGAGACCTTGCTAGCAGGTAACTCCACCAGCTGAGTCAGCAGCCCTATGGCTTATTTCTCCATCATTCTCAGCTCTTGAAAGCTGAAAAGTGGGAGACCTTGCCAGCAGGTAACTCCACCAGCTGAGTCAGGATTACTGTGGATCACCTCAAGCTTTTGATTTGCCCAGTCAGTGAAAGTGCTTAAACTGTTGTCGCTGTCAAATTGCTGTGCCTCATTGAAACCCCCTGAAGGTGAACTCAGGCATGATGGACCACGATGGATACAGCTCATGAAAATCCTTAGTCGGTTTTGTGTCTTAATATATAGATTTTTGTCTTGATTGTGGAAAACTCTCCTAAGAACTATCACTGTAGGGTTATTTTTTTTTTCTCTGTTCAGTGTTAATTTCTTAAAGCAAAGGTTGGATAAACTTCAGTCTGGACCTCCAAGGCTGCTATGAGTTACACAAGCATTAGCATCTGAAGTTTAGGTATAGTTGGATATACATACCTTTGTGCTCATTTTTTTAATTAGGAAAGGGTCATCAGTTTATTTTAGAAAGCTGAAAGCCTAGTTCTAAACAAAGAGTTGAGGTAAATTCATGAATGAATACATCTTGCTGTACAATATTTTTGTTTTAGTAAATTTCAAAATATGTGTATATCTGCATCTGTCATTTTTGTTTGTCATGTTGTCAGAGAATCTAGTGTATGATGTAATTATCATACACTATATTTATAAATATTCCTGATAGTACAAAATTGGTTCCAAATGGGTCTTAGGTTTGGACATCGCTATTTTAAATTACCATTCAGCAAGGAAATCTCAACGGCTGGAAGTTTTTATCTGTGCAAAGTTCAGTTGATTTCAGGAAAATTGTGTAAGAATCTATCTAGACAGAACGCTTTATAGCATCCGAGTGCCTATTGTTTGTTATTGTTTTTCTTCTTATTTTATGTATCAACAATTAATGTAGTTTTCAACTAAGGTCATTGGTACAGGTAAGCCATTTTGAAAGAAGCAGCAGTTGACAAACTAATTGTAAACAACAATATTTGTCTTGATATGTAAAAAGCTTGTGAGACAAGCTTTAGTTTTGGGAAACTAATTGCTTAACAGTTAAATGAATTGCATAAACTTATTCTAGTAGTGCTCTTTTTTGCGTTTTTAATGTAGTATTCAAGAAAAGCAGGTAGGATACATTTTTACATATAACCTCAAAAACACTAAAGGTAATTTGAATCTATCTGGGGGGAGGAAAAAGCTGCAGTTGCCAGGGTACTGTAGCAAAAAAAGCATCAACACATACATAGTCAACATATATCTTGTACTTCTAAATGTTGTTAATCTAGAAGTAGTTTAAATACGGCTTCTCAAAGGCAGAAGTTGTGAAAGGACCACAGAGCTGTGCGTTTGATTAGTGATACAGTTTTGAACAAGGATTTTTAAAAATCTGGTTAACAGAGAAAACTGCTTGCAGTAGGAAAAACTGTTGAGGTTATTTCAAATTGTCAAGCGTATACCAAAGTAAAATGTTACTTTCTTACTACAGATACTGCTTCATTACTACTTCATTACTACTAGTAGTTTTTCAATATTGCAGATGATATGGGATGCTTTGCTGCAGGTTCCATGCTGCTCTCATGTTGTTGGAAATGGACAGTATGGGCTTCAAGTAGGTAGAGCCTGGAACAGCATCCACAGTGTTTTGGTATCATTATCTGTCATATGGACAACAACAAGAACGCAGTAATCTGTCAGAACCTGCTCGCATGGGTGATAAACAAGAAAATTAATTAAAAAGCCCCAGTAGTGTTTGCTTGAAGTGTGATAGCTAGGAAATAAAAAGTGTCCAGATACAACAAAACACTCGAATATGAAAAATTCGACTTTTCAGAATAATTGCATGAAGCTTTATGTTGGCGTAGTGCAGAATAGTGAACTGATTTATACTTTGTCTTTCAGATGAACCAGAGACACGAGATGCATGGTGGGCAGAAATCAGACAAGAAATAAAATCCCATGCCAAGGCATTGGGTTGTCATGCTGTAGTGGGCTACAGTGAATCAACTAGCATTTGGTAAATCACGATGATGATTTGATTTTCAAAATGCCACAGAAAATTTATTTCATCTTCAGTGGATTAAAAATTAGTAACTATTTCAACACAATTGTTAGTACTGTCTAGTATACCTCCTTCAGAGAGTTTGTTAAAGTAACTTTCTAAGATGTTAGTACTGTGCTTTTGTTTAGTATCTTTTGGTTTGCGTTTTTATTGGGTTTTAAGTTTTTTCTAATGAATATTGCAATTTTTATTTTTTAAAATAGATTTAAACCTATGCATTTGCTTTTGTTGTAATAATATTACTTTATCTATGAATTTTTCTAAATCTAGTCAACCTAAATATTAAGATTTCCTAAAAGTAGATGTACTTTAGTTTTTATATTGGGTAACAACTGGCAGACCAGTACTTAAATGGTAAACTTCAAACTTAAGGCACTAAATTCTGTACTAGGAATGTATTAATTATAAGTTAAAGGAGAATATGCTGCTTCATAGATATAGAATAGTTTAGGTGTAAAACTCCTGTATTGCTTTCTGGAAAATGTGGGTCATTATTTTTATCTTTCAGTCCTACAGTAGTATTTAACATACTAAACTGCAGCTCTGCAGTGGTCTTTCTGAGGTTAAATTCCCCAGATCTGCATTCTATTCAGGCCAAAACTCCTGTGTCTTACTGTATTCCCTTTGACTAAGAGAATTCCCATCTTGTGTATTTTGGTGGCTTAATAACAAACTTCATGAGAGGCTTGGAGATTGGGAGGAATATTTGGGATTCATCTAATTACTCATCCTTCTCTCTTTCTGGCCCAGGAAAGTTTGTGTCCTTCTTTAGCTCCAGAAGGTAATCTATGAAGAAGCCCTCCTGGGGCTTAGTATGTCTCATTGATACCAAACAGAAAAGTACTCTGGTTTGGATTGCTTTAGGAAAGTGGCTGAAGCAAACTCAAACATCTGAACTTCTTTTCTGTCAAGTTGATTTTGCTTAAATACTTTAAAGAAAAAACACTTTTTTAAAGAGGGAAGTTGGAAAATGAAGCTTCATTTTATTTTGCAAGTAGAAGTTGAAGGAGGAAATACAGAGTTACACAGTGCTTTGATGAGTACACACCATCTGTTGGTAAAGTATAAGATAACCAGAAATAATCAGTTTGAAAGCCACAGCATTGATTATATCACATCTGTTGCTCCGTCCCATTATTTGCTTCACTACAGGTGAAAAAAAAATGAAAAACCACCACCAAATATATTGACCTAACTATGGGGAAAAGAATTTACAAAGTATAAATAGGCAGTCAGTTATTGGGTTATTTCACACTTGCATTTTTCTGAAGGAATTTGCTGTGCTAGTAATTGATCATTGATAAAATAGTTTATTAGCATTCCCACGCTCACTTGCCAGCTCAGCTTTATTCTGTGCTTAAAGAGCAAGGCTCTCTCTGGAAGTACTGGTCTGCCAGACGTGTTACATAAGAAAAATTATTCTGGAAAGAGAAATAACAAATAAAAAAAGCACGTGTATCATTCTGGAAAATGCAGAAAAGCTTTTCTCCACGTTTTCCAATATAGTATTTTAAGTACTGAATGTTAGAGATTTGTTTCATAATTTCAGAAATATTAAAAGCTCCGTGATCTTTAACTCTGAGAGCTTTAACTCTGCTAAGTGATGAACTTTACATGCTGTATGTACCATTATTGTAGTTGTTCATAGCCAAATTTTACTGTTTTGCTACTTTTTATCCTCCAAGAAGCACCCTTGTCAGTGTTGTATTGTAACTTCATTCTGAAAGTGAATGTTTATAAGATGATGAGGCTCTCAACTTCCATTTTACATTGGTAAACAATTATAACTTGTTTTTTAACGTTTCTTTGCTTTTCTTGGTTGGCTGGATTTCTTTGCATTGAAAAACACACTTGTTAGTCTTTGTGATGTGATAGCATATTATTTATGACATGGGGCAAAGCTCTTTAGTCTTTCTGTTCGATACTCCTGCATCTCTTGTGAGATTTAATAGATAAAATTGCACAAATGCCCAAAATTAGTAGTTGTATTGAATTCGTTGAGACTTTTTTGTACCAGCTTTTTTAATCTAATAGTTTTAAATAAAAGTAATGCTAAGTAGTAGGAATTCACTTTGTTGTAATTCTTTTCTCTTATAGTGAAGAGGTCTGTATTTTGTCCGCGTCTGGCACAGCAGCTGTACTGAACCCTAGGTTTCTTCAGGATGGCACCATGGAAGGCTGTTTGGAACAAAGGTTGTCTTGGCAGCCTGGCTTCTTTTCCATAGGGTCAGAGAAGGGAGAGGTTGATTTTTTTCCTCAGAGCCAAGATAGTTCTTCTCTATTAGGGTAGGTTACAGTGTTACAGTGCAGGATGCGGGACCAACCACTTTACTGCTTTTCACTAACAACAACAACAACAGGAGTAATGGAACTCTGCACCAAATTAGATATTCTGTTTTTATTTCTAACAGTCTGAATAAGGTAACACATTTGACTACTAACCACAGACCATAACTCAGTTCTTTTTTCTTTGCCACTCTTCAGGTATCTTCCTTAACTTTATATCACACTATAAAAAATGAGAGATGTATGATAAATTACATAAGCCAAACACTGCTGTGGCTATGATATGTGCATATATGCTCTCTATATACTATTTAAGAGCTGGATGGGAGGTAAAAAAGCTTGGTGGTAAAATGAAGATGATGCCAGATTTTTACAAAAGATGTATGTTTTCCTTGATGTTTATGAACAAAGTCGTGAAACTGGAGGAAAAACATGAACTTGCCCTTTGTTTCTGCTCTTGCAAGTAAAATCTGCAGAATGAGTAGTGACAAACAGTTATTGTTGGGAAAAAATAAATTACCAATATGCATTAGTTAATCTAATTATGTGTTTGTTGGGGTAGTCATCAAATATTTCAAGGGATTATTGTAGTCATAAGGAAGACGATTTGTTGCACCTTAGCGCTTGCATTACTTTTTCCATAGTAACCCTGCCAGCATAGTGTTATTTATTACTCTTTTACTTTCTTAGCAGGAGGCCATTATCTTCCTGTGTAGATAGACTTTTGAAAGCTGTAGCCAGAAAAAAATTACCTGTTTTCCATACTCACTATATGATGGAGAGAAAGAAATGTCATGTTCATAGTATGAAGAAAATTGCATTTTTATCAAAATATGATTTTTGGTGCTACTAAGAGTCTTGTCATAGATTAGAAATGCCAAAGGAAGGTGAAACAATTAAACAGACAAAGCCCATGTATTTTCTGACAAATATATATGCCAAAATCTATGATAAATGATGTTCCAAATCTGTCAGATTTGCTTAAGCATCTCTTCAGAATTAACTGAGAAGAATTGTTTATGTGAAACAGAATAAATTTGAAGTGATGCAGTTAGTCTATGCTTTCCTTGTTTGTATTTCTATAGGGGTCATTTCTGGGTATTTCTTTTGGGGGAGTTGGACTAAGTGTTCTAAAGTGAATTACCTAATACCTTATCTTAGGAATAATCTTGCCATTCTTCTGACAATGTTAATATGTATTGTGTTGCTTCCAATAGGATGGTTGGTTTGTTGTTTATGGTCTGCTCGTTAAGTTTGTGTAGGTTTTTGGACACAATCCATGTAAAAGAGACTTTTCATTGTATTTGGTAGAGCAAATTCTCTGTACAACCGCTGTACCATGGACTACATTTAGACATCATAGTGCCTAAAGCCAGCTCAGTGATGGTTTAGGTTTATAGAAATCGTTAGTCATTTATATGTACTTTTTCTTGATCCCTGCATAACGAGTTTTAATGCAAGTTTTATTTGTAGCATTTTAGCTAGTATTGTGCAGCCTAATTTTATTCTAATTCATAAAATGTGTACTTGTCACATTGGTATAATGGAGCAGAGTACAGCTGCAGTGTATGATTTCAGTAGGTACCTGTAGGTGTTCAAATGTATGTGTGTGTATTGATCATTGCTGATAAGTTGCAGATGTTTTAAGTGTGTTCTCCATAATGTATTTTTAGGATTGAAGAAGCTTCCCCACCAGGCTGTGGATTTTGCCATATACCATATGATGAATTGAACATGCCATTCCCTGCTCACCTCACTTACTGTTACAACTGCAGGAAGCAAAAAGTTCCAGATGTCCTTTTCACCACAATTGATCTTCCCGTGGAGGCAATAGTTATTGGGAAGGGATGTCTTATTCAAGCCAGGTATATATATATATATATCAAAATGTTTTCTTAGTGAAGTTTTGGAGATCTTTGAAAGAATTCCTGTTGCTAAAATCCAGTCATCAAACCTTTACTTTTTATGTTGAATTGCTAGGAGTTAATGACAGTGTATTAGGGGTACAAACATTGTGGTACGTGTCATGGCATCTGGCAGCTTACCCATTTTCCTAAATTTTTTTTTGTTTGTATCTTTTTTTTTCTTCTTTTTTTTTTTTTTTTAATCCTATGGGAATTGCTGTGTTTTATCTGCCTGTGTCACACTTTACCTTGCTGTGTGGGTCTGCCAACATGGTTAGGTACAGCTGGTGCACTGGAAACTCAATGAACCGTTTGAGTCGGTCGTGTTAATTCTGTGCTAATGTCCACAACTAAACATTTCTGTGGAATTGTTGACTATGTCCAGTTGACGCTATGGTCTTTGAGTTTGGAAAGGGGATAAGGCAGTTTACAGTGAGAAAGAAGGAAGGGTTGGCTTTGTACAGTCTGTGTGGGTGGCCAACTACATGGATAAATAACTGGTTGGATGGTTGGGCTGAGAGCGGAGTGGTTTATGATTCATAACCTACCTGGATGGCCATGACAAGTGTAATAGACTCTGTGGTGGGACCTGCCCTGTTGAACATCTTAATGATGTGGAAGGGATGAGATACAATAGACTCTGCAGTGGGACCTGCCCTGTTGAACATCTTAATGGTGTGGAAGGGATGAGATACAATAGACTCTGCAGTGGGACCTGCCCTGTTGAACATCTTAATGGTGTGGAAGGGATGAGGCACTGCATTCTCTTCAAGTTTACCAGTTACACCCAGCGAGTGGGACCAGCCAATCCGATACCCGTCAGGTTTTATCCTTCTCTGAGAGTAAGGGAGACATCAGAAAACTAGAGCAAGTTCAGTGGAGAGCCACCAAGGGAGTAAGGAGCACCTGCCCTCTGAAGAGAAGCTGGAGAAAAGCACTGAGGGGGATGTAACAGCAGCCTGCCAGTGCTTACAAGGAGATTATGGAGCATATGGAGCCAGAGTCTTCACAGTGCTACACAGTGGGAGAGTGAGAGATGGTGGGCCTAAGTTGTAGCAAGAGATTGGGAGTGGATATAAGGGAAACCTTAGTTACCCATGAAGACAATCAGGAGCAGATTGCCTTAGAAGGTTGTGCGCTCTCCATCTTTGGGGGACATTTCAAGATCTGACTGGATAAAGCTCTAAGTATTGTGGTCCAAGCTCAGAGTTGACCCTGCTTTGTCTGTACAGGAGCTTGGACTGGAGACCTCCTGAAGTCCCTTCTCACCTGAGGTTTTTTTTTATAATCCTATGATTATCATTCTCTGACCGCTGCTAGAGAATTACTGAAGCTACTCTAGAGATGTGTTCTGTGCCCCTCCTTTCCGTATTATTAAACTCTGTGTTCAGTCCCATCCTGGAAATTGACTGACTTTGTGTCACACAGTGGTCCCTGATCTGTCTCTGGAGCACCTACAGTTGTCCCATTTTGTCTAGAATGGTTCCTCAAACATTACCATCCCCTAAATAAAATGAAAAACAGAAAAGACCTGAAGCTATAGTTAGAAAGATTTTGAGGTCAACTTGTTACAATTGGGTGAATTACTATGTTTTTCTGATCATGTAATAAATGTGGTCCTTAGAAGAAAGTGTTGCCTGTTCATCCGTCTGAAACATAGAGTTGTCACGTCTTCTTTTTGAATGAAAATTTGTGAGTGGAAGTAGGCAGTCACCACACTGGTGTGAGGTTTGAATTTCAGCTGATGGGGCTAAGTCTGAAGAGTGGGATATGACTAACATAATATAGTCAGAGCGGGGGTTTCTATGCTCTTTCTTTTATTATTTAAGATAAGTATTTGTAGTCTTGTTAAATGTTTGAGCTGTGAAGGCACTCTTTTTTTTTTTTTTTTTTTTTTTCTTTATTTCAAAGTGTGCCTCGAGTAACTGTTCTAACTGTTTGTACCTGAAGTGCTTAGGAGGTTTGCAGCAACAGAAATAGGTGTTTGCATTTGGGGTCTTACAAGAAGAAAAGCTGAAAATATGAATTTTCAGAGAAGGCAGTCTCAAGGAGTTTCTGTAAAGTGGTGACATTTTATTTTACAGTTGCAGCAATCTAGAAGAGTGCACCTCATCAGTTCTGAGGCTCACTTGAAAAGGGCTGCAGTAACTGTCCGTTGAAATAATCTCTTTTTGGGAGGAGGTGTTGAACAAATAATAGCAAAGAAATTGTGTTTGTCTTCAACATTTGCTTTGACAGAAGTAAGCGGGGCAAATTTTTAACAATGGCTGCTGTATGATAGGAGCCGTAGTGTGTTTAGCCAAACATGTAGTAGATGGTTATCTGGAATTTATAAAGAAGTATTTTCTACATTGCATATTTATTTGGTGCTGTCAGACTTTTATGACAAAACCCCCGTGTGATTTAGGTTGTTTCTGTCTGATAGCAGCCCTTACGCGTGTTTTAAGAAAGGCGACATGACTTCATTCAGTGATTTATAAATATAGCTCTGTTATTCTGATAGGGAGTATTTTTTGAATGTTGCTGAAGGTTAGGTATTGTTCTGTGTTATAAGGTTACTTTTTATGTTACCCATTTTTATTGTTAATATAAATAGGCAGTTTCCTATTAAAAATGGAAATCAAATCTATCTTACTGAGACTTAACGTCTCAGTTTGCCTTTCTCTTCCTGACGGGAATTTAATATTTTACAGGATTTTAAAATACAATAAAAAGAAACTGTTTGTATTGGGTTATACAATGAGAAAAAAAAAAGAAAAAAAAGAAAATACTCTGTGATGATGTTCAGTCTTCAACAATCCATGAAAACTGTTTATCTGCTGATGTCGTGCACTGTTTTGTTTTCTCAGGTTGTGCCGTCTAAAGAAGAAAGCTCAAGCTGAAGCCAATGCGACATCTATCAGTAATCTCCTGCCATTTATGGAATATGAAGTGCACACCCAACTGATGAATAAACTCAAGCTGAGAGGAATGAATGCTCTGTTTGGGCTAAGAATTCAGATCACTGTGGGTGAAAATATGCTAATGGGGTTGGCAGTAAGTACAGTTTTAATCTTGGATTCTTTTGCTTTCTTAACCGTATTTTTTCAGGACAGAAAGACGTACAGGTGTTGTGAAATTCAGAGTAACTAGAGATATTGAAATGTCATTGTAAGAATAAATGAAGTGAGAAAAGGAATGGATGAGGTGTCAAATTGCTGACAAATCAGGACAGACTGTCTTTCAACAGCAGAAAAACAGATTCAAAAATCTTGGAACTGTTAGAGGACAAGATTATTAGAAGGGGAGTGAGAGGAAAAGAAACTTTATATGGTTTAGTGGCATAAATTATACAAAAATTATTGTATTCTTTAAAGGTCCTGTCAAAGAGATCCCTGTTCCCCGAGTTGCATTACAGTTCTATGACAAATAGGGTCAATTAAGTTTCTCAATAAATCTTTTGGTTAGTTGCCAACAAGAGAATGGTGTGTCGCCTCCTCTTTATTGGCACTGAAGAAATAAATGAGAGCTTGCAGGTGACTTCGAGAAGAAATACTCATTAACAGTATTTTCTAACCTCATTCTGTCATGGGGGGTTAGAACAGTGAAGTGTGCGGCTCCTTCCTACATCAGTGAGAGAGGCTGCTTGGGTAGCACTGATTAGCTTGCACGTGCTTTTGTCTGAACTGGTGATCTGTTTTCTGCAAGTAGAAATAGGATTTACATTTACAGTTTGTGACAGTTTTAAATCCTTGAAGCCATTGCTTGCCTGTGCGAAATGGACTAGGAGAGAGATTTTAATTGATACTTTGTTTGGAACTTTTAGGTAAGTTAAGAGCTCCACCGTGGAAAAGACCTGTGAAAAGGAGAGAATTTATTAAAAGAATAGTGTTTTTTTTATAAGTCAACAGCACAGAGAGATCCATTTGATATGTGAAGAGATCATTCTGTAATGTGCGTGTCACAACGCTGTCCATTATAGCATAGGCATTTTGGGAAGCTTTATATGAAAATCTTAGAAGTAAATGCTTGTGTAATTGTCATTTTTATTAATGACTTTTTAAAAGTCTGCAACAGGTGTGTATCTAGCAGCTTTGCCAACACCTGGTGGTATTCAGATCGCTGGGAAGACTCCAAATGATGGCACCTATGAGCAGCATATATCTCACATGCAAAAGAAAATCAATGATACAATAGCAAAAAACAAGGAACTTTATGAGATTAATCCTCCAGTAAGTGAAACTTTTATACTCTTAAAGCATTCTGAGTCAAGCAAACACACAATGTCTATATCCATGAATTCTTATTGACTGAATTATTCAGAACATAAGTTGTGTTTTAATAGAGATACAGCTTAATTTCGCTATCTATTCGGAACCTGTTTGAATTTTCAGATCTCTTAAGCCACATATCCAAATAATTTTGTGTTTATCTAGATTTATTTCTCAGTAAAATTATTTTAGAATGTTTTGATTCTTAGAACTGTTAACAAATTGTTTATAAATGAAATTATTTCTAAGCTACATAGAATAACTGTTAATTTTTATATCCTTTTTAGGAGCTACCTGAAGAAATCATTGGGTCTCCCATTCCAGAGCCAAGACAACGTTCCAGGTTACTAAGATCTCAATCAGAAAGCTCTGATGAAGTTACAGAGCTTGACCTTTCACATGGGAAAAAGGATGCTTTTGTCTTGGAGGTAATAAATATTTTCAGTACTCATTTTCATACTTCTCCTCAAATATATATTAAAAAAATGGAGAAAAATTTTCTTATTCATCCCCAAAGACCGTTCTTAAATTGTATATGAATTTTTCCATTTTGTACCAGTAAAAAATGTTAGGTATTGGATTTTGCTTTGTCTCTTTTTCTTATTCTGTTTGCTTAAAGCATAGCTATATTATGCCTAGGGACAATATCTGGGAAAAGATTGCCCTGCCATTCATGGACATGTATCGTATCACAGAATCACAGAATCTTCTAGGTTGGAAGGGACCTTAAAGATCATCTTGTCCAACCGTCAACCTAACTCTGACAAAAACAGACACCCCCACAACAAACAAGGAGCATCATCACTAAACCAGACCTCCCAGCACTACATCAACCTGTCTTTTGAACACCTCCAGGGATGGTGCCTCAACCACCTCCCTGGGCAGCCCATTCCAATGGCTGATGACCCTTTCAGTGAAAAAAAATTTCCTAATATCCAGCCTGAACCTCCCCTGGCACAACCTGAGGCCATTTCCTCTCGTCCTGTCGCCTGTGACTTGGGAGAAGAGACCGACCCCCACCTCTCTACACCCTCCTTTCAGGGAGTTGGAGAGAGCAATAAGGTCTCCCCTCAGTCTCCTCTTCCCCAGACTGAACACCCCCAGTTCCCTCAGCCTCTCCTCATAAGACTTATTCTCCAGACCCCTCACCAGCTTCGTTGCCCTTCTCTGGACCCGCTCCAGGACCTCAATGTCCCTCTTGTGGTAGGGGGCCCAAAACTGGACACAGTACTCGAGGTGAGGCCTCACCAGTGCCGAGTACAGGGGGACGATCACCTCTCGGGCCCTACTCGCCACACTGTTCCTGATACAGGCCAGGATGCTGTTGGCCTTCTTGGCCACCTGGGCACACTGCTGGCTCATGTTCAGCCGACAGTCGACCAACACCCCCAGGTCCTTTTCTGCCAGGCAGCTCTCCAGCCACTCTGCCCCCAGCCTGTAGCGCTGCTTGGGGTTGTTGTGACCGAAGTGCAGGACCCGGCACTTGGCCTTGTTAAACCTCATCCCGTTGGTCTCGGCCCATCGATCCAGCCTGTCGAGATCTCTCTGCAGAGCCTCTCTACCCTCCAGCAGATCAACACTGCCACCCAGCTTGGTGTCGTCTGCGAACTTACTGAGGGTGCACTCGATCCCCTCGTCCAGATCATTGATAAAGATGTTAAAGAGAATTGGCCCCAGTACTGAGCCCTGTGGGACACCACTCGTGACTGGACGCCAGCTGGATTTAACTCCATTCACCACCACTCTCTGGGTCCGTCCCTCCAGCCAGTTTTTAACCCAGCAGAGGGTATTCCCATCCAAGCCATGGGCAGCCAGTTTCTCCAGGAGGATACTGTGGGAGACTGTATCAAAGGCTTTGCTGAAGTCCAGATAAACAACATCCACAGCCTTTCCTTCATCCAGCAAGCGGGTCACTTTGTCATAGAAGGAGATCAGGTTTGTCAAGCAGGACCTGCCCCTCGTGAACCCGTGCTGGCTGGGCCAGATCGCATGGGTGTCCTTCATGCGTCGCATGATGGCTCCCAGGATGATCTGTTCCATGATCTTCCCAGGCACCGAGGTCAGGCTGACAGGCCTGTAGTTCTCTGGATCATCCTTACGGCCCTTCTTGTGGATGGGCATCACATTTGCCAGACGCCAGTCGGCCGGGACCTCCCCAGTTTGCCAGGACTGCTGGTAAATGATGGAGAGTGGCTCCGCAAGCACTTCTGCCAGCTCCCTCAGTACCCTCGGGTGGATCTCATCTGGTCCCATAGACTTGTTTACATCTAGGTGTTGGAGCAGGTCCATCACCACCTCCCTTTGAATTATAGGGGCTTCACTCTGCTCCCCGCCCCTGCCTGCTAGTTCAGGGGTCTGGATATTTAGGGAACCCCCTGTCCTACTGCTAAAGACTGAGGCAAAGAAGGCATTTAGGACTTCAGCCTTCTCCTCATCTTTGGTCACTATGTTACCTCCTTTATCCAGTAGAGGATGGAGGTTCTCCCGAGACCTCTTCTTGCTATTAATATATTTATAGAAATTCTTTTTATTGTTTTTAACATCCAAAGCCAGGTTGAGTTCTAGTTGGGCTTTGGCCTTCCTAATCTTTTCCCTACATAACTTTGCTATACCCTTGTAGCAATATCTAGAATAATAACCAAGAGCTGTTAAGAAATAGCCTTCTGCCTACTTCAAGTAGCAGTCATGACTGATCCAAAACAGATATATTTTTATAAATATTGAGGTTCTGTGTTATCACGCTTTATATTTAGCAAAGAAAAAGCCTGTACATTCCAGTTTCAAAACTCTTATTGGTATAGTTGGATATTCAGAATTACTAGTTTCCAGAACTGGTAGTACCTAAAGCATTCAAAAAACCACAAGTATCAAGAGAGCACATAAAAGAAGACTTGCTTTTCTAAGTTTCAGCTGCTGCTTTTCAGAGTTCAAGAATTTTCAGCTTCAGAGAATACCTTCCAGTTCTTTCTACAGCTACAACTAGAAACAAGTACAACACCTGCAAATAAAGAACGTAGATTTCATTTACCTCTTTATTTACTAAAATTCAAATATGTGATTTTGACATTGTATGGTTTTGAAAGAAAGGAGACAAGTAATAAAGAAGGCTAGAGTTTTTATCTTCTTGTAGATGCAGGTATTACAAATACCTGTCCTAGACTAAGAAAAAAAAAGCAATTTAATTAAATTAGAGCCTGTATTGCAGCCCAAGGTATGTTCAAGACTTTGTTACTCTTCACAAATCACTATCTTCATAGAAAACAATCTGGAAGAAAGGTTGTAGATAGGAGAATGATAGAGTGCCGTAACAGCAGTTCATTTGAAAACAGGTTGGGAGAGGTTGGTGTAATAAATTGAGATTGGTTGGTGCTTCAAAACCCGCCTGGATGCCATCCTGTGCAACCTGCTCTAGAGCAACCTGCTCTGGCAGGGGAGTTGGACTAGATGATATCCAGAGGTCCCTTCCAAACCCTTGTCATTCTGTGATTCTGTGTGATTCTGCTATTTGAGTCCGTTTTTGCTCTTCAGTAAGTAAATTGGGAAGTCCCTAGAAGTAACTTGGATGCTAGTTAACTCTTGCATGAAAAACAAATGGGGACAGTTCTCATCAAGTATTTTTTGCCGCTGGTCTTAAGAGGTTTTTGGTTTTGTATCATCAGCTGTGTAGACTGACAGGGTTGGAATTGGATCCTCAAAACAAAGGTTATGATAGATGCTCTGTGAGACACTGTATTGAAATGGATGAGGCAATCAGAAAATACTTTGATAAATGCAAAAAAGGGTCAAATGCCTTTGTAAAAAACAGAGGGTTGTGTAGGGCACACACAAAAAAAAACCCAACCCAAAGACACTTACACTGCAAGAGGCCCTTTGGACAAGTAATGAAAAATAACAGTAAAAAACATAAAGTGTGGAATCACTTTCTGCGGTCTTTGTTAAGAAATTGGGTATCAGAAACAACATAACAATATTTCAGGAGCTTTAGTGAAGCTCCTGGCTCCGACCTGTCAAGCGTAAAATCATTGTTCGCTGGAAATATATAAGAAAAAGTAGTTTAAAAATTCACTGTGATGAGGAAATAGAGATGCTGGAAAGGCAATTATGAGAGGTAAGGCTGCCTGTAATTTTTTTTTTTTTTGAGAGGGAAAAAAAAAAAAAAAGGACTCCTCCCCTTAACTTGAGAAGGAGAAACAATACCCAATGGAGAACCCTTTAATGCCAGAGTTAAAATAGAAAGGATTTCCAAAATACTTGATAAGAAAATGTTGGAAGTTAGAGGTGAACTGGGATCTCTTGTAGATAAGTAAGGCAGAACAAACCTAGAGGCACAACACAAATACTTAGAGAAGTTAGAAGGGCAGATACCCTCTCAGTCTGGTCTAACATAGCAAAGGCCTTTAAAGATTGGATGCAGTTGAAGTTATTTCGATAGAAAAAACTAATAACCTCCAAATTTACCTATTCCTGTTGGATTTTCTGTTATTTGTACTAAAGCAGGGTTTTTAAAGCACTGGAAAGATTTTTATGTGTCGTTGAAATAGGCAGAGAATGATCACATCAGTGTAATGCAGAGCGTAGGAGAGCTCTACTAGCAAAGATCCTTAGCTGGAAAAAATTGTAACTTGTTTAGCATCTTAAACTGTTCAAAAAATTCTCTTTTTTTATCCTTCTGGTCTTACCTACTGCAGTTTCTGTGCGTTCTGTTGCTTTATTTTTAATACAATTTAATTGGGGGAACTATTTTTCAAGCGTTAAGCATATCATAGGCTGGTAGTTAAGATTCAGAGGTCTGGTTGATGGAATAATTTTTTAAAATCTAAACTTAGCTTCCAGATACAGATCTCTTGATGAGAAAGTTTTTACATCTTTCTGAGACTTCTGACTGAACAGCAACCTGATTTTTCTCAATTATTCTTTTTTCTAGATTGATGACACAGATGCAATGGAAGATGTGCATTCTTTACTGACAGATGTTCCACCACCTTCTGGTATAGTTAAAACCATATTTTTCTAATTTATACTGTAGGCTGCAAAATGACACAGTACAACTGGTTTTATTTAAAAAAAAAAAAAAAAAATTTCCAGAATAATAGTGAAAATACTCTTGAAGTGTTCAGCTTGTCAGAGATACCTGTGAAAAACAAGTCATTAAGCCTTTTATGGGGATTGTTGCTTATTGAAAACTGAGGTAAACAGTATTTGTGCAGTATTTTGCAGTTCACTGACTTGTATGGCTGTTGCAAATTTGTTCTTTCTTCATATTGGATCTTTTCTACTACTATACCAGTTTCTGAAGATTTTTAGGCTGAATGGCTAATTTGTAGGTTTCAGAATCAATGGAAGTAGAAATAAAGACAACAGAATGATCTTTAAGGATTTGTAACCGTGCAATGTGACATATTGGTGTTGCAATCCAAGAATGTTATTTAAAGTGAGCGATTTGCTCTTCCAGCTCTCTTGTTCAACAGGTGCATTTGTATTTTCCTTGCTTTATGATTCTGCCATACTGTCAGTTTAAATCTTTGTGTTCACTGCATTTGTAGGCTTTGCTGTTAAAAAAAGCAAAGTCCAAAATTACTTGGAATTCTGAAATCATCCATGGCATTTTTATCCAAGTCAGTATTTGTCATTTTCTGTAGGTTTGAAAGTAAGTCTTTGTTAGTAAATGATATGTATTTGCACTCAGTCTCTAGGTATATCTTTATCTGTCTATCTAAAGATAATATATATAGAAAGATATATCTATCTTTAAAGCATCTCTGTGCTGTCTATCAAAGGTTAGCTTTTTTAGCTTTCCCTATCACATTTTGAATGTTTTCTTATTTGCATCTAATTTGTCTATTAGCAGCTAGGCAGAGCAATAGTGGACTTTGGGTTGCAGTGTATCTTGATAAGAGCTAAAAAACCTCTTTGAATGCTTCTCCCTGCTCAGGACCAACGAGTCAGGAGTTTCTTGTTTTGTGCATTCCTCAAGGAGCGGTTCCACGAAGCAATCAGGGAGCTTGTCTCCCCAATTAGTACCTAGCAGGAGGTGACACGAGTTATGCGGTCTCCATCGGGAGCAACTGTCACCGGTTTCATTTCATAGAGTCATAGGATCATAGAATTGCCCAGGCCAGAAGGGACCTCCAAAGGCCATCTAGTCCGACCCCCCCGCAGTCAGCAGGGACACCCCCAACTAGACCAGGTTGCCCAGGGCCTCATCAAGCCTCACCTTGGATATCTCCAGGGATGGGGCCTCAACCACCTCCCTGGGCAACCTGTTCCAGTGCTCCACCACCCTCACAGTGAAGAACCCTCTCCTCATCTCCAGTCTAAATCTGTTCCCCTCCAGCTTGAAGCCATTGCCCCTCGTCCTGTCACTGCAGGCCTTTCTAAACAGGTTCTCCCCAGCCTTCCTGTAGCCCCCTTCAGGTACTGGAAGGCTGCTATTAGGTCTCCCCGGAGCCTCCTCTTCTCCAGGCTGAACAACCCCAGCTCCCTCAGCCTGTCCTCATAGCAGAGGTGCTCCAACCCCCTGATCATCCTCGTGGCCCTCCTCTGGACCCTCTCCATCAGGTCCATGCCTTTCCTATACTGAAGGCTCCAGACCTGCACACAATACTCCAGGTGAGGTCTCACCAGAGCAGAGCAAAGTGGCAGAATCCCCTCTCTGGACCTGCTGGCAACGCATCTCTTGATGCAGCCCAGGATGGGATTGGCCTTCTGGGCTGCAGCTGCCCACTGCCTGCTCATGTCCAGCTTCTCATCCACCAGCACCCCCAAGTCCCTTTCCTCAGGGCTGCTTTCCAATCCCTCACCCCCCAGTCTGTACTGATGGTGAGGATTGTTCTGGCCCAGGTGCAGAACCTTGCACTTGTTCTTGTTGAACCTCATGAGGTTCACCTGGGCCCACCTCTCCAGCCTGTCCAGGTCCTTTTGGATGACATCCCATCCCTCTGGTGTATCGACATTGTAGCCTCTCTCACATTCCTCAGCGTGATGACGTTTCTGGTCTTGCTTTTTGGTGGTTGAAGAAAATACTCAGAATAAAAATTTTGTAGTGAATTAATGTTTTAGAAGTGGTGAGTTCCATCTTTCCAATCCGTTTTTTTTTCCCCTTCAGTAAGAATAACAGAAAGCACGTGTTTCTTTTGTATGTTACATTGTATTCTTCAGCTGCTATGTTTGTTTTTTGAATGTTGGTCTTACTTCTGGTATTTTATTCAATATTCAAAATCACATGAAGGAAAATACTTGTAAAACATTAAGTCAGGCCATATATGTTTCTTTAAAAGTATTTTCGTATTTCATAGATTTTCCCAAATATTTTCTTCACAGGTTTTTACAGTTGCAACACAGAAATTATGCCTGGTATAAATAACTGGACACCGGAAATTCAAGTAAGGTTATTCAAAGAAAATGAAAACTTTTTTCCAAATTGTGTTGAAATGTGGTGTAGTTATTTAAATATATATTAGAGGTAAATAATTTTGAAAGAGAAGTTAAAAGGATACTCTTGTGTTAGAAATAAAAGTACTGTTTTGGTAAGAGAAATAGGCTATGAGAACCTGTTATTTTGTGTTTTTTTCCAATGCTCTTCTGTAACAGAATCTGTGACAAAAATATAAAAATTAGAAAATAATTCCAGTAAGTATGAACTTTGGGGTTTTAGGTGTTTTTAAGAGCTTGGCTAGATTTTGAAGCCTCTTAAGAGAAACAAGTTGTTGACTGTTACTTAGTGTGAGATACTGAATGATAAGATTAACAGCTTAAGATAAGTAAGAATTAGGTAAAGCCAATTCGGTGAGTAGAGAAAAATTCCATTTATAATTAAACACTTGCGGCCATGTTTGTACAACACAATTCAGTCTTCTATTGAGAGAGTTAAAACAGATCTAATGAAATGAGTTTTTACACCTAATTGACACAATGCAAGACTCTGCTTTGCAGACCCACGGCTCAAACCTGAACACCATATCACCGCACCAGCGGCAGACTCTCAGGCTGCTGGGCTTCCCTGTGTATTTGCATGTGATGTTCCATTGCTGTGTACATTATTGTACAAGATTAACATACAGTTTTCAACAGCAATTAACAAAATATGTAGCATGTAGAATGACTCCTTTATGAAGTAAGTAAAAAGAATATTGAGTATTTCGTATCTTGCTTAATAACTTGTTTCATATATTCATATACATTAGTTCACACAAAATTTGCCTTTTATTCGTAAAATTTCATGAGTAATAAGTACTGTACTTATTCTTGCTACAGTTTTTTTCCCTTTCTTTCAATGCCTCTCCTTCTTCCTTTCCCTCTCCTGCATTATTTGCCTTCTTTATGAATTAGTTTTTATTTTAATATAACATACAGGCATATATTGAAAAAAATAAAAGTGTTTTTGTTTCCAATTCAGATGTTCACAGCAGTAAGAGTATCCAGATTAAGCAACATTAACCTAACAAATCAAACCCTTAATAAGAACTTCAACGATCTCTGTGAGAATCTGTTGAAGGTAAGAATCCTATTTCAAACATTTTTTGAATTGTTCAAACGGAACCAAATAAAATCGGGCCTGTTACTGAAAATAACATTTTCTTCATAATTACTTTTCAGAATTAGACTACAAAATGTGTACTACTGGTTTGTGAGCTGCTCTACAGAGAGATTCAGCCGCCTTAATATATTTAGGATTTCCAGAGCTTTTTGACTTTGAATGAGTCCCTTGACTGATAGTGTACTATAGAAACAGAGAGATCTTCGAGTTCCAACCCCCCTGCCCTGGGCAGGGACACTTCCCACTGGACCAGGGTGCTCCAAGCCCCATCCAGCCTGGTCTTGAACATTTCCAGGGAAGGACTATCCACAACTTCTCTGGGCAGCCTGTTCCGGTGTATATAAAGACTGCTACACAGTAAATTGCATGCTATCCTGACTCTTCACACCTGTAATTCTTCATGAAAAACATTAATATGATTGGATTATTATGATTATAAATATGATTAGATGGTTTCTACTATGAAAAGAGTTTTGATCTTTAATTTCTCTGAAATAAATGATACTTTATTTTTTAGAGTAACACAAATAATGTCTTGTCTTCAACAGAGCTTGTATTTTAAACTACGATCTATGGTTCCCTGCTGCCTTTGTCATGTGAATTTTACAGTTGCTCTACCAGAGGATGAATTAGTTCAGGTAAGTAAACTGCTTCTTTTGACTTTAAGCATGTGGGCATGCCAGTTTTGGCCTTTAATTAACATTTGCTACGCAGAGTAAACTCAGGTAGGACTTGACTTACTAGTATGTGTGATGAATTCTGAAGTAAAACCTAAGGCCATAATGTTTGGTGAAGAAAAAGGATTACCTATTGAGTTCACCAGTTTTGAGAATCATAGAACTACGTGCTATTTCATGAGTGCAGTGTGTTCAACAAAGCATTTCTCTTTTACTGATACAATCACAGAATCCCATGGGGTTGGAAGGGACCTCTGGAGATCATCCAGTCCAACCCCCTGCCAGAGCAGGTCCACTCAGAGCAGGTTGCACAGGAACTTGTCCAGGCAGGTTTGGAATGTCTCCAGAGAAGGAGACTCCACCGCCTCCCTGGGCAGCCTCTGCCAGGGCTCTGCCACCCTCACAGGAAAGAAGTTCCTCCTCATGTTTAGGTGGAACTTCCTATACTCAAGTTTGTGCCCATTTCCTCTTGTCCTGTCCCTGGGCACCACTGAAAAAAGACTGGCCCCATCCTCCTGACACCCACCCTTGAAGTATTTATAGGTGTTGATCAGATCCCCCCTCAGCCTTCTCTTCTCCAGACTAAAAAGACCCAAGTCCCTCAGCCTCTCCTCATAAGAGAGATGCTCCAGGCCCCTCATCATCTTTGTAGCCTCTGCTGTCCCCTCTCCAGCAGTTCCCTGTCCTTCTGGAACTGGGGAGCCCAGAACTGGTCCCAGTGCTCCAGATGGGGCCTCCCCAGTGCGGAGCAGAGCAGAGGGGCAGGATGACCTCTCTCTACCTGCTGGTCACGCTCTTCTTGATGCCCCCCAGGATGCCATTGGCCTTCTTGGCCACAAGGGCCCATTGCTGGCTCATGGTCATCCTGTTGTCCACCAGAACTCCCAGGTCTTTCTCCTCAGAGCTGCTCTCCAGCAGGTCACCCCCAACCTGTCCTGGTGCAGGGGGTTATTCCTCCCCAGGTGCAGCACCCTGCACTTGCCCTTGTTAAATTTCATTAGGTTTCTCTCGGCCCAGCTCTCCAGCCTGTCCGGGTCTCTCTGGATGGCCTTCTGGGGTGTCAGCCACCCCTCCCAGTGTTGTGTCATCAGCAAACTTGCTGAGGGTAAAGCTCAAACTTGCTGAAGGTACGTTCCATCCCTTCGTCCAGGTCATTGAAGCTCAAACTTGCTGAGGGTACATTCCATCCCTTCGTCCAGGTCATTGATGAATATATTGAAGAGGACTGGACCCAGTACTGACCCCTGGGGAACACCAATTGTTACAGACCTCCAGCTGGATTCTGTGCCCCTAATCACAACCCTCTGGGTTCTGTCTTTTAGCCAGTTTTCAATCCACTGACGGTTTTTTTAAATGTCAATTCACCAAGAAAGAGGGAAAGAACTGATGAACAAAATCATGAATGTGGGACAGACACTGTCAGGTGTATGTTTTAAGAACAGACCTTAGTATTACTTTTTATGCTCTGATGTTAAGGGTTGATAATATGTCTGCTTAGATGATTTTCTTTTTTCCCTGTTACTGGTCTATGGAAAAAGCTGGCTTGTTTGAAAAATTATTTTTGCAGATTGCGTGAGAGATGGAGTTACCTAATGTGCCATATATTTCTGATTTGCAGATTGCAGTCACAGCTGTTGCAATTACATTTGACAAAAACCAAGCGTTACAAGCCAATAAAGCCCCTACAGAAAAATCACAGCAAAGAGGTAAAAGTTGGGAGGCATGTAAAGATAAGAGATAATATGTAATGAGTCTACATTTTCATTTCAGTTCCATATACACATTTTTAAGGGGAGATTCTATGAAATCATAAAGCCATAATACAGAGTTATTTAGAGTTTGTGTATGTGACCTCCAGCAGGATGACTTACTTGTGATGTATTAGGTATTTGCTTTATGTAATCAACAAACTTACGATAACGTAAAAAAAATAATTGGTATTTCCTTATTCCATGTAGCATCTTTCTTTAAATATATTTCTTTAAGGAATTAGAGATTTTCCATTATGAATTTTCCATTGATTTTGAAACGTGGTATAAGTCATTAGAGAATACTTGTTCTTATAAGTGGCAAATTTTGTCTTTACTTCAGAAGGCAGAAAATAAATTATTCATGATACTTGAAAAAAAAAAGTCCAAAAAACCCCTTAAGTAGGTCAGTAATATTTTTGGAGATGAGTGAAGCATATAGCATTATGGAAGGAATAGAAGAGACTACTGTAATCTGCATATGTCATCTTGCTGGTGAAGCACCATCTTGCACTAGAAATTGATGTGTGCAATCTGGAGATGGGGATTTAGACAGAACGTTGAAAATACTCCATTATGAAGAATGGAACTGGGTATTAGAACAGAGCCATGTGCTTCTAAAACATTAGTTATACCTTAGTTTTTCAGTGGTAACAGTTAAATTGTTTGTTTTCTTTTAAGTGAAATAAATCCAATGGTACTTTTTACCAGAACATATAGCTAACTCGGGTCCAACTGCAGAATCAAATCTAAAATGCATGAATTGACTTCATGTGTTTTCCTGAAAATACTAAATCAAATCCTGTTCAAGGGAACGCAAATTCTGTTCAATTTTGCAGCTGGATTTATTGTCAGACATTCGACAGTTCACACAGAACTGCATCACTGTGTGCATACGCTGAAAAAAATCTGGTCCAGTCAGACCTGACTAAATTGAATCTGTAGTGATTATTATTACTGACAAATGCATTTTGGGGATTAATTATCAATCAGGTCTGTTTTCTTTGTTGAAGCATCTACAGACAATGAAGAGCAGCTACAGTTTCCATTGGAACTTTGCTCAGATCCCCTTGCTTCTCAACCATTCTCACCATCTAAAGGTCAGTTAAATGGACAAATGCTAAACTTTTTTTTTTTTTTACTGATTTTGAGTTCTGCTCTCTTATTTAAAATAGCTGTACTTTCACATGCTTTAAATATTCTTTGATAGCTAGGCATAATAGGTACATTCACTCCTGAAGTCAAATTTATTGAGGGTGACATAAGATGGGTTGACTAATCATTCTAGATATATTCTTTTGTAGATTTCCTGTAGTTCTACTGTCTTTGCATTTAGAGTATTGAAAATGCTGCAGAGCACTGTGTGCTGGATGTCATTTAACTTAAAGAATTATAAACTATTTAATAATTAGGCTTGTCTCACACTGCTTTGCTTCTGTAAATGGCCCATGTAAAATAACTCCAGGTATTGTCAACCTCAAATAATTAATCTCATAGTTTTCATGGTGTGAAATACTTTATCTAGCAAATATTGGTTGTTCAGCAGAGCAAAACTGAATGTTTGTTTTTTTGTTTTTTTTTTTTAAGTGAAAATTTTAAGTGAATGGAGCCTATGCTTGTGTAGTGGACAATTTGGGTAGTGCGGCACATTTTACCTGTTCAACAGTGAAAAGAGCTGCTTTATTTTACCTGAGATAGAGCAGCATTTCAAGAATGGTTGTCATAATTCTTCTATGACTGTATGAACAATTAGGTCATCGTTTGTTGAATTTACCTTTACTTCCTTCTCTGTTGTTTGATTATCTACCACCAAAATGCTTAGTCCCAGGAAATTTAGCATTATGGTAAATGTTCTTTAACTAAAGTGTTAAAGAGCTCCCTTTTTTTGCCCGTTACGTAAGTTGTATAAAGGAGGGTGCCTACCACATTTACTTAGATTTTCAGAGGCCAGTTTAATTTCAGCAGGGATATTCTTATTGCTTTGGTTTTTCTTTTTATTTTTCGTTTCTGTGTGTTTACCTTCTACTGAAGTAACATTCTGATACTGTTAAACCTCAAGTACCTGCACTGCTCCAAACTGAATTTTTTTCCAATTCCCATTTTAAAAAAATTATAATTCACTGCTTGCAGCGGGGAAGGCAGATTTTTCTTTACACGAGAGCGACAAATTTCAAGCATTATTTCCCAAAGCACCATAAAAGAGCTGCCAAGAATGAGAGGTTTGGATTGGTTTTGTCTTCCAGTCAACCCTGATTTTGAAGTTTGTGCAAAGCCTGGGGATCTCCCAGGTTGTTTGCAAGAAACCTGCCCCATGAGCTCCAGTGACCCATTCCCAAACCTCTCTGACTCGCAGCACCTGAACTGGCTGCACCCACAAAACACCCCATGATGGGGCAAAAACCACACTAAATGGGTGCGAAAGCCAAAGAGAAATAATTTTGCCTCCTCCAGACTTTTGCTCTCTACCATGAGTGGTCAGGAGCTGCCTCCTCTGCCCTGAAAAGCAAAAGCTTCCACGAACATCTCCAGGACCAGGGTTTTGGTGGTTTTCCCCCAGGTTTCTTTAACATCTGCTGCTGCTTTTTGGTCACGTCTTGTCCTGATGCAGCCTCTCAGCAAGAACAGGCTTTGCTGGGACTGAGCCTGGCCCTGCATTTCGGTCACAGCCCTGAGGCCACAGCCTGGCTATATTATTAGATCCTTGGAAGCATTGATAAGGTCTCCCCTCAGCCTTCTCTTCTCCAGGCTCAAGAGCCCCAGCTCTCTCAGCCTTTCCTCATCAGGGAGATGCTCCAGTCCCTCAATCATCTTTGTTTGCCTAGTCCATGCCTTTGGTGGATGCGTTGCCATCCACCTGCCTTTTCCGTGATTTCTGGATTAAACCCAACCTGAGCAACCCCCATCAGTGTAACCACCCTAATAATATAGCCTCCCTCAACCCACCCAATAATATGTTAAAAAGAGGAGCTATCTAAGAATTTCCGACTGAGGCCTTTGTGACTGTCAGTAGACGGTGCTGCTTTTCCAATGAGCAGTGACCACTAGAGGGCAGCCTGTTCACCTACATCACTGTTCCTCATGTTCCTCATGTTCCTCACATTCCAGGGCCTCTCTTTGGAGGCTTTCAACCACCTCATTATTTCATCTCTCATTTCTTCACAAGTAGACTCGAGGTTTCAGTGCAGTTAAGTTCACTTAGCAGCTTATTTAATACATTGACACTTTTTTTAACATACTTTTCTGTAAGATTGTTAGTTAAAACATATTTTTATATAACCTTATGCATAATGACTGTTGGTAAATGATCATATTATGATTTGCAAGACAGATTTAGTAAAGTCAATTATTTATACCGATTTATTATGTGCTATCAAAGAGCGTAGTATAATATATAGAAGTTTTTTTCCTTCTATTTTACTCTAAATTTTTTTTTTTTATAAGAAGAAAGCTGTTGTCCTGTACTACATGACTCTGCTCATATATTATCTGAATGGAATTAATTTTGTCTTCCTAGAAGCCCTGGAGGGTGCAAGTTCCCACACAGGTATTCCTGCTCCTCAGAGAGGTGAGTTCACTTCATTTAGCCATATGCCAGAACAGACTGAGCATTCTTGGGGTATTGGTATACTCTTTTTGGATGCGTTTTAATCCAGGAAGTGTTTACTAGTTAACTGAGAATGCATGCTCTGGTGTGGCTTAATGACATCATAATATTTTGATGTGGTTTTATAATTACAAAAGTCAGATTTGTTAATAACAGCAGTGTGTCTCTGTCAGATATATTGGTATCACTTTATCTGACAGAAAATTAGTTCTCTGGGAGAGAGCTTTTTTTGCTTGTCTTAATTTGAAGTTAGCATGTGATCCTTCCGTTTCTTCAGGGTAATGAAGAAACGGTGTTTGCAAAACTTTTTTTTTTTTTTAATTTTATTTTAAAGATACGCAAACACCCCTGCAACTAATACCCAAAGTCATAGCAGAAACAACTCTACTTCTCGGTGTAATGATAAGGGGGGGAGGTGCTGGGGGGAGGAGTACAGTGTTTTGTAAGGAAAATCAAGTTGTTTCAAACGGAGGTGTTGTTTCAGCTTGTGACTCTTATCCTCACCACCAAACCTTGTTTTTTTTCCAGTCTGTAGGTTAGATGTTGGTGAAGATAGTTAGGAAGTACAAATCACAATCAGCAGCTTTTCGTGAGGAAAAAAATAGCAATGCAAATGAAAACTAAACAAGGCTTAAATAAATTTAAAGAAGCCAGAACTTAAGAACTAAAATGAGATTTTAAAAAAACCATAATCTAGCATAAGTCATTAATGACTGTATTTGCATGTTTTTTCAGTGATGAAGTCCCAGTCAGGCAGTTGGTTCACAGCTGGGACATCACCAGAAATCGGTACCCGGGTTTGGACGAGTCCAAACCTCTACTGTAACTTTTCCTTTAAACAGACCTGGAAAGGGATGTTTGTTCTCTCTCAGACACAAATAAATTGCTTCCTCAAAAGGAGCATTGAGATGAGCAAGAGACATCATCCATATTTTTTTTTCTTTGTTTTTTCTTTTGTTTTTCTGTCTGTGTTTTCAGCAACGTCAATTGATTACAGTTCCTTTGCAGACAGATGCAACAGCTGGATAGAGCTCATTAAACTGAAAGCTCAGACCATAAGGCGCGGATCAATTAAGACAAGTAGGCGGCTGTTTCTACCACGTTATGATAATCTGAGACATATCTCTGATTTCCCAGTGGTGAATAGTGGAGTTTCCTGCCCAGCAATAGTCCTGCAGATCACATGTAGAACCAATACCCGAGTGTGAAAACTGCCGACATTGTTAATGTCTTTGTAAGCCAATACAGGGTTTGTGTACCAGTATCATAAAAAGCAAAATGTAGTATTTCTGTTCACTTAGTAAAAATTAGTTCTCAATAAATGTGTACGCCTACTAATTATATAACATACACTGCATGGATGTAGGTGTATGTATGATCTTGGAAAATTTTTGGTGAGAAACAGGAAGCAATCACCAAGGCAATGGTCAAGGCAATGGTCACTAAATTAGCAAGTGGTGAGTTATTTTTCAGTAGTTCTTTGGCCACAGGTCTGACTATCTTGCTTAAATTAGCAGAGATTAATATCTGTTTTAATGGAAAATGCTGCACTGGGGAAACACAACAACTTTCACACTTCCTATAATTTGTTCCTCCGGCAGAATACATATTTCAAAATGTTGGCACTTTTTTCTTTACCTTCACTTTATAACTGATTGTTGTATGTGCAGCTACTCGCCTCAATGTTTTCCTTTGCAGGAATGCCACTCTTCCAAATAAATTCCATTTCAGCTTTTTGTCTCCTTTTGCATGCATTGCATGATAATTTCCTTTCTCACATGGTATGGCTGAGCATCACAGGCAGCTGAATGTTGTCACCAAGCTATTTGGAAACCATAAAGAAGAGTTTTTGTGTTTTGAGAAACAGTAATAGATCGTACTTGATAGTTACTTTCTATTCTTTTTTTTCCCCATCTTTTTAGCTGCTTCGCTTGATAAAGCAAGTCCATTGGCTGAGGGATACTTAAAGCACCGTTCTTTTCCATCGTGCGCCAACTCTACCGTCTCAGTTGTTAAGATGACACCTCTTTCTTTTCTACCTGGGGCAAAAATAACTAAATATCTTGGGATAATCAACATGTTTTTTATACGAGAAACCACTTCTTTGCGTGAGGTGAGCTGTATATCAGGGTTTAGTACTTTTTGTTAACAATAATAATCAAAGGTAAGTATCTGAAGATGTTTGAGTTGAGGTATGGTCAGCAGCACCTCAAAATGTCAAGAGACATTTTGTCACTTGAGGGTAGGTGCTGAGATGGGAGGGTAAGTTGCATTGCACTGCTCTTGTCATGGAGCATATAGAGCTGTGTTGTGTTTGGAAATGTTAGGAAGGGCTTACTTCACCATTGCCACGTTGTTGAATTTGGTTATAACGCTAAACCAAAGAGTTCTTAAACAGAACTGCTTGGAAAAAATAGGTTTGTGGCCAACAATTCTATTTGGGATTGTTTGAATCCAAAACTGAGATTAATTTAAATGCCAAAAAATAAATAAATCCATTCTTATCTCATTTATCAATCTCAATGATGAACTTTCACAATGTATGTGAATTTTAGAATTATTTGGTTAATACAAGTCTTCCTGTATCGTATCAGCATACGTAGTTATCTATTACCTTCTGTGCGTTCTCAGTGACGTAGTAAAAATCAGCGTAGTAGTTATATATTACCTTCTGTGCGTTCTCAGTGACGTAGCTCTGTGTGATGAACACCTAAAAGGCTTAGAGGGTGTAGCTAGTGATACTCAAACAGTGACCTTCAGTCTGCATCTGGACAATAGATACTCCTTTGAGCATGAGCATACTCCTTTCAAGACAGGTTACTTACTTTTTTCATGTCCTTTTGGAAAGTAGCTGCATCCTTCTGCTACAACTTCTGGCCACAGCAAAAGAATGGACCTCTTGCCTGATTTGTCAGTGCCCTTTCTTGCTAATTACACATTGGTACAATTACATAGCAGATTTCAAGAAAAATGATCAGCCTTTACAAAATGAGTTGCGAGCTCCCTAGAGAAACTGTGGTCAGGTAGACATCTGGTTTGCATCTTGCAAGTTATGACCTCTTTTAACTTGAGAAATCTGTGTGAAATGGACAACATTTTCAAAAGTAGGTGCGTGGTATCACCAGGGAAGTGGTGACACGACATTTCTGTACTAGCGGCAGCTTCTGCAGATGCAAATTAAACAGCTGATAAGGAAGCTTCAGTAATTGGGATAGCAGATCTCAGCAGAGGTAGGTTGCTCAAGTATTTGATTCAACTCCTTCATGAGGTTTGGTGGATGGTTGCACAGTTTCTGTGGTACTGTCAGTGTGCTGTTTCCAGCAGGTACTTTAAATCTCTCTGAGCTGCACAGGCTGAGTCGCAAACTCATGATATCCAACTTGAGCCATGTGGTTTAGATTCTACAGAAAAATAATTAGCAGTGTTTCTGTTCGTATTGGTTTATGGTTTGTTTATGGTAGTTTACAGAATATTGAAGCCCTATGAACTCTTTCATAAGCTGAAGTATATACCAGATACTGTGCTTCAGAAATTAATGATAATTATAAATCTGGTTTATCCATTGCTCTTAGGTTTTGCCATTAATGGGTGGATATTTATAATCTTTCACATCTCGTCATCAAATTTTGTATTAGGCTTATAATATTACAGATTTTTTTTCCCATCAGTTAAAAAAACACTTGGACAAAATCACAGTTTCATGAGGAATGACAAACTTGTATTGAAATTTTGATTTCTGGTAGTAGTTGACTTCACTCACACCTTATGCTTGGATTAGTGAAGTTACACTTGCCTTTTGTTAATTTTCATCCACAGGATTTGTTCCCAATATCTTCATGAGTCTGTTCAGTGTAGCTTATACTTTTTGCAGTAGATATGAGGACAGTCTGTATTTGTTGAAGTTCAGCTTAGTCCCTTCTCCTGCCCACCCCAATGGGGGTAGCTCATTTTCCCCAATGGCATGTGCACATGTGGGAAGTCCAGTGGTTTTGCCTTCCACTTTCATTTTGAAATATTATAGATACTTTGAACCAATATTGAGCTCTGTTTCATGAGTTTCTTTCCTTAGGTTTTTTTTCCTGTGTTTTTTTTTTGTTTGGTTGGTTGGTTGCCTGGTTTTTGTGTGTTGGGTTCCACCCCCCACCCCAATGTAGTTGCTCACACTCTTTTATAAAGATTGCCTAGAAAAAACCCATGCTTCGTTGTTTTCCTCCTCCTCCTTTCTCAGCCACTTAAATCACTCAGCTTGGAACCGGAGAAGTAAAAACGCCCCCTGAGCACCATCAAGTCAAAAAACTTCACTAAAGGGGATGGCCAGAAGTTCTTTTAGGCTTCAAGGAGAGAAAAACAAAACTTGAATAGCTTTCTTGTCAAGTCTCTGTCTGTTGCTTACTTTGTGCTTTGAGGGATTATTTCTTCAGTAAATGTTGAGAACTAATGACAGTCATTAGCATACATGAAGTTGCAGTGGCCAGAGGTAGTGGCCACTCCTTACCAGTAATTTCCAAGAAGTCTAAATCTCTTTTAATCCTCAGTAGAAATTATTCTTTATCTGCTTGCTAGTTATCAAAAAAAAAAAAAAAAAAGGTTGTATCCTTCCTGCTGAAAGAAAAAAGTCATTATTCAACTGTCATTGGAATATTAAATGTTCCTGCAGAGGTGTAGAAATATCTGAAAAGTATGACTGTATGTAAAATACTGACTGCAAATAATTCCAGTCACAAATGAATAACCTGCTTATCATTCTTCTCCTCAGACCGTTAGTTCCATTGGTCTGATTTTTAACTGTGGCCCATTCAACAGTGAATAGCTTTTAAGTTCATACAGTATACCAGTTAGGATTTACTGAAATATTCGGCTCATAAAAATGTAAGAAAAGTATTCAGCATTTTGTAGCTATGCCTTATGTAAAATACATATTTTATTTTCTTTTCCCCATTTTAGGAGGGTGGTGTCAGTGGTTTTCTCCATGCTTTTATTGCTGAAGTATTTGCAATGGTGAGAGCTCACGTTGCAGCTTTAGGGGGGAATGCAGTTGTCTCCTACATAATGAAGCAGTGTGTTTTCATGGAAAATCCAAACAAAAATCAGGTAAATTATGAAATAACAGTACTCTTGTGATTAGTGTGACACATTTTATATATTTAAAAGACAACAACCCTGTAGAGCCGTGTTTAACGCTTCTGGATCTCTGGTCATAATGTTTGTTTGAAGAAGCCAAGAGCATTCTTGAACACAGGAGTTAACACAAAATTATGCATATGCTTCATAAATACCCAAATGGGTAACAATACTAAGTTCACTAGAATGAATTAAATTGCAGGAAACGGCTGAACAGTAGTGCTGACCTCACTTAGCTTTGCTGATGTTGCAGTGTTAGGATTTTCATCCTAGCCCCATGTAGAAATAACTGAGTTGCTGCTATAATATGCTCCATTTTGGACATAAAGGGTCAAAACTTTATTAATAAATATGACAATGTACTATATTCATACATGAAATATATTCAAAACAGTAGTGGCATCAAGTACAGCTACCCAGGTATTTAATTTGTAACGGTCTTAGGAGAATCTGTCTACATTTTTAATAGCACACAAGCGAGTGGATATAAAAGGTATGGCAGAGATTGCCTCACTAATAAATTCTCATAATTTGTCCTTCTTTCTGTTATCTGTGTAGTTGTATCTAGCAGATTAAGTCAACATAAAATGTGTTGTTATTATTTAGTTGGGTAACTCTGTGTTATCTTTTCTTTTCTCCCCAGGCTCAGTGTTTGATAAATGTCAGTGGTGATGCAGTCATCTTTGTACGTGAATCCGAGTTGGAAATGCTGCCAGCACAACCCTCTACAGTCACTTCACAACCCACCAGTTCCACAGGAGATGTCACAACGTGAAGACAGAAAAATCAAACAGTCTCTGCCAAATGTAAAGATTATTTAAAATGTGGGAATGTTTAGGTTTGCATCTTCAAAATCACTATCTCTCCATAACATTCGTAGCCAAAATCCAAGACAATCGCTATACTTTGTCCTTTAACTTTATGTCAGGGCAGCATATTAGCAGGTAAGCTCTGAGTCTGGTGTTGGGATTACAGGCCTCTGTGAAATCTAGACAATAGGAAAAGCACTGATACGAGAGTACAGATTAAATTAGGAGGTATCCCGTGGAACTGTGAAAGGAAACTAACATTCTGTTGCATTTTTCAGCTGTTCAACCGGACCATGATCAGTTGTAATTCAGAACTGTTTCTGAGTTTGCATGTTGTGTTAGCTGATTCTCAACTCAGTTTAAGAAATGAGAGGGGTTTGGGTTGGGTGAGAGATAACTGAGAAGCCTCTATTAGTGACCTTTGCCAAAGGTGCAGGAGATTTGCATGCAGGTTAAGAAAGTGTGGGATGAACTCTGAACATACCTGAGATCGCAGACCATGAAAAGGAAGAAGCAGCACCAAGAAGTCACAGGTAGAATTTCTGCACACTGAAATTTCATGTTTTGAAAAAAATATATTTCAACTGTTTGTGAACTGCTGATTTTTTTTTTAATTACTACTATACAGCACATGTTTCAGGTTTTTTTTTTGTTGGTTGTTTTTGTTTTTAAAAAAGGTGGCAAACCATGATGCAGTGTTCCTAGTTATCCCTGTGGTTAAAAAAAAATAAGAACAAAAAGTTCCAAAGTAAGTTCGGTGCTATTATAAGATGTTTGCTTCGACATTGCCAAAACAGATCTTTGTTGTTGTTGTTGTTGTATTATCAGATTCTGTGAAAGAGTTGTCCTGAGGCTCATTTTCTTAAGGCATGATCTCTTGCAAGGGTGACATAGACTGTCCTCCAGCAGTGGTTACAGAGCGGTACCCTCCAGCCTGCTTTCCATTGAACAAGTTGGAAATGCCTGGCTGATTAGAGATTGATGTACCTTTTGTGATGCTCATTTCTGGAAGTTGGGTTTCTTGGGTTTAGATTTTTTATTTCCCGGTACAATAGCTGGGAAATGAGGGTTACTGCAAAGAAAGGAAATTTGTCATTTCCAGTAAATGTCCGAAAGGCAACGATATTCTAATGTAAAAAAAAGGCAAAATTTGATCTGAAGATGCATTCTTACTTAATTCTGACAATACCGTACGTGGAACTTGAACAAAGGTGTAAACTTGAATGTAAATACTCTGCTTAGTGTTGAAATTAAGCAATGGCATGGTTATTTGTTAAAACGAATCATTTCATTGTAAATGAGCATGAAAATCATTCTTGCACAATAAATTTCTGTATAAAATTTTATGGGTTTTTATATGTGTAATAGTTAAATGTGTATGCTGGATACATATTAAAGATATCCCACCCCCGTTGTCCTCAGAGGAACGTTTTTTGTACAGAATGTTACAACCTGATTATTGAAAAATTGGAGAGTTAATTGTCTTTATATTTAAAGTGTTTGAATTGGGTGCTTACCAGAACACTTTACTCATACAGTTAATTGTCTTTCTAAATTCTGTAGCTGTTGTGACCAAAGCTGCCATAAATTAAGTTGCCTGTAAATAGTTGCAGCTCTCTTGATTATTTTGCAAGGCTAATCTTGCTGCCTTTGAAGCTGATGGCAGAATATTAATAACTTAAGAAGGTCTTGGATCTGGCACAAGAAGTTGTTTTTAGCAGAAGTATTCAGATGGAAATATTCTCTGAAGTAGCACATTAAAGTAGCTGTTCTTGATTATTTTTGTTTGTTTTCTGGGTTGGTTGGGGTTTTTTTGGTAGCTTCTCTGGTAGTATTAATGCCTTCTTTTCATTTCTGGCTTTTTAAAAGGTCACGTTTTTTTCTAGTGTGTTTCATTAGACGTAGAGGAGCAGCTTTCTCATCTAGAAATTTTCAATCTTCTCTAATTACTCCAGAAATGACAAACATGTTTTTTAACTCTTACTAATTGGGATTTAGATTTTCTTAATTGGTCCAGCTCGATGAATTTAACCTGTAGGAAGTTGTACACTTAAATTGCTTTGGAGTTTTTTGTCTTCTTTCCAATGTAAAAAAAAAAAAGGGGGGGGGGGAAGGGACACTTTACTCATACAGTTAATTGTCTTTCTAAATTCTGTAGCTGTTGTGACCAAAGCTGCCATAAATTAAGTTGCCTGTAAATAGTTGCAGCTCTCTTGATTATTTTGCAAGGCTAATCTTGCTGCCTTTGAAGCTGATGGCAGAATATTAATAACTTAAGAAGGTCTTGGATCTGGCACAAGAAGTTGTTTTTAGCAGAAGTATTCAGATGGAAATATTCTCTGAAGTAGCACATTAAAGTAGCTGTTCTTGATTATTTTTGTTTGTTTTCTGGGTTGGTTGGGGTTTTTTTGGTAGCTTCTCTGGTAGTATTAATGCCTTCTTTTCATTTCTGGCTTTTTAAAAGGTCACGTTTTTTTCTAGTGTGTTTCATTAGACGTAGAGGAGCAGCTTTCTCATCTAGAAATTTTCAATCTTCTCTACTCCAGAAATGACAAACATGTTTTTTAACTCTTACTAATTGGGATTTAGATTTTCTTAATTGGTCCAGCTCGATGAATTTAACCTGTAGGAAGTTGTACACTTAAATTGCTTTGGAGTTTTTTGTCTTCTTTCCAATGTAAAAAAAAAAAAGGCGGGGGGTGGTAAGTGTGTGCAAATCCATCCCCATTTGGAAGATCAGACCTCATATGTTTCTTGGAGGCAAAAAAAGGATCATATAAACATAAGAAATGTTTATGGGGAAGTTAGTAGAACTATGTAAGGACAGGAAAACTAAAACACAAGTTAAAAATTCCAGTCAGTGCAGAAAACACCTTGGAGGAGCTGTGTGCCTACAACTTTGGCTGATTTAGGTTCCTGGCTGGGTTAAGAATGACTGAAAAGCAAAGGTACCTCATTAGTTAATGACTTTTACCCCTCTAAGTCATGACGTGTAACACACAGTTTGGATTGTGGGAGAATCCTGGAAGTTTCTGCTGAGATGGGAGCAGTTAATACAAGATGCCTTTTTTTACTGGCGTGGGACTTGGACTGTGGGGCCGTGAGTGGAACCGTTTGAGGTATTTGTGGCTCAAAGGGACGTTGCTTTGTCAGGAATTTCCTCTGAGAAACAGGTCTCTGGGGGCAGGAGCTGATGCGACTCCCTTGGATGGGTTTTGGCTGGGATAGAGGTCGTTTTCTTTGGAGCAGCCTGCGTTTTGGGATAGTGACCAAGGCAGCCATGTAAGATGATTCAAGGATTGGAGCATCTCCCTGATGAGGAGAGACTGAGAGAGCTGGGACTCTTTAGTCTGGAGAAGAGAAGGCTGAGGGGAGACCTTATCAACGCCTACAAGTATCTCAAGGGAGGGTTGAAGGAGGAGGGAGCCAGACTCTTTTCAGTGGTTCCCACTGAGAGGACGAGGGGCAACGGGCACAAGGTGGACCATAAGAGGTTCCACTCAAATATGAGGAGAAACTTCTTCACGGTGAGGGTGACAGAGCCCTGGCAGAGGCTGCCCAGGGAGGGTGTGGAGTCCCCTTCCTTGGAGATTTTCAAGACCCGCCTGGATGCTCCTGAGTAACATGCTCTGACAAGCTCTGGGCAATCCTGCTTCAGCAGGGGAGTTGGACTAGATGATCTCTATGGTCCCTTCCAACTCTAAAAAAAATTCAGTGAAAATTCAGTAAGGACAGGGATGTTTTAGCTGTTGCAAACTGAGCGGTGATTGCACAGGGTCAAGGCTTTCTGCGAGTAGACGAGGGTGGACAAGAAGGCTGGGGGGGAAGGCAGCCAGGAGAGCTGACCCAGGCTGACCAAAGGGGTGTCCCACACCCAGCAGCTCTTGCTCAGCAGTTGTTCACCCAGGGTTGCTGTTGTGTGGGGACTGGCACTGGTGGGCTGGTGTGGTGTCTGGCTGCCAAGGGGGCTAACCCATGGTACTGCTCCTTTCTCTTGACTTGAGGAATCCAAGTTGGCTGAGGGAAGACCTTCTCGCTCTCTCCAACTCCCTGAAAGGAGGGTGTAGCTCGGGGGGAGTCGGTCTCTTCTCCCAAGGAACAGGCGATGGGACAAGAGGAAATGGCCTCAAGTTGCACCAGGGGAGGTTCAGACTGGACATCAGGAAAGAATTTTACCCGGAAAGGGTTATTAAACCTTGGAATGGGCTGCCCAGGGAAGGGGTTGAGGCACCATCCCTGGAGGTGTTCAAAAGATGGGTTGGGGGTTATTTTTGTATGGTTTTATTTTGGGGGTTTTTTTAATCAGGGTTATGTTGATGGTTGGACTAGATGATCTTGAAGGTCCCTTCCAGCCTAGACAATTCTATGATTCTGGGGCTCTTCCCTCCACGTGTGGGCTAACTTTCTTCCCAGGCTTTCCAGAAGTCAGCTGTATGAACCCTGCCTGGTGTGAGAGCGAGCTGGGCTGCTGTTCTTCCTCCTTACAAGTGTCCCCACCAGGTAAGGCTTTTCATGGTTACACCTCCAGCCCTTCACAAAACCAGCTGGTGCCGTTTCTCCGATGGATGGTTGAAGTAAGGGAGGTGCAGAGGTGTGAAGCAGCACACCAGGGTTGTGCTGGGGGCCGGTGGGAGAAGGAGGTCTCTCTCCAGGTGTCAAAATGTGAGTACAGTGTGACCAACCAGAGGGGGCTGAAGGCAGGTTTACGTGGTGCTGGGTCTGTTGTCGTTGTACCTACGTGGTGAAAGCGTTGCCTGAGAAATGGACCTTAGTCTGCACCCATACAGGTGGAGTTAATCTGATCTTGGGTAAGGATTTGCCGTGTTGTGTGTCCATCGATGGGCAAATTGCTGAGTAGAAGCTGGAGTTTGAAATTGTCAATTTGTTTTTTTTTGAAACAGGAGTCCCATTTCAATTGACTTGCAGGTTTTTAGCGTAAACACGCGCATGCACATTAAATGGTGCACAATGATTTTTGTTGCAAAAGCACTTCCGTTAATGTGTAGGGAAATATCCCCTTAAATCGTAGGGAGGAGAGAACCCAGAGTGATTCCAATTTTGGTTTCATTTTCTTGAAATCAGATGTCTGTAACGCTTCAATCAAAGAGGATCTTTGCCGGAAACCTTGTGAGATTTTGGAAACATCAGAGTAATTACAACCTTGTGAGTGGAATATTCACCCCCAAAGAGCTCTTAAATTTGGAGGGAGTGCTGCCGAGCCTGGTGAGCTTCGAAAAGAGGTCGCTATCTCCTGACACGGACTCTGGAAGCCAGAGGAGTAAGTGAAAGCTCTTGGAGACAGCAACCCTTCCTCTTCCTGCCTCCCTCCTCCCCCCAGGCTATCTCTGCCCTCTCCTTCCCTTCCTGGGATCCTGCCCTTCCCTCTTCCTTCTCTCCCTGCCCTGTCTCTGGAGGGTTTGGTTAACCAGAGGTCGAGCAACAACATCTGCAACACCTGGGAGTCCTGGTGGACAACAGGATGGCCACAAGCCAACAATGTGCCCTTGTGGCCAAGAAGGCCAAGGGCATCCTGGGGGGCATCAGGAAGAGTGTGGCCGGCAGGTCAAGAGAGGTCATCCTGCCCCTCTGCTCTGCCCTGGGGAGGCCCCATCTGGAGCACTGGGTCCAGTTCTGGGCTCCCCAGTTCCAGGGAGAGGGTACAGCAGAGGGCCACAAAGATGATTAAGGGCCTGGAGCATCTCTCTATGAGGAGAGGCTGAGGGACTTGGGTCTGTTTAGACTTGAGAAGAGAAGGCTGAGGGGAGATCTAATTAATGCATACAAATACTTAAAGGGAGGGTGTCAGGAAGATGGGGCTGGGCTTCTCATTGGTGCCCAGGGACAGGACAAGAGGAAATGGGCACAAACTTGAGTATAAGAAGTTCCACCTAAACATGAGGAGGAACTTCTTTGCTGTGAGAGTGGCAGAGCCCTGGAAGAGGCTGCCCAGGGAGGTGGTGGAGTCTCCTTCTCTGGAGACATTCAAACCCCACCTGGAGAAGTTCCTGTGCAACCTGCTCTGGGTGGACCTGCTCTGGCAGGGGGTTGGACTGGATGATCTCCAGAGGTCCCTTCCAACCCCGTGTGATTCTGTGATCTGCGCTTACCCTCTGTTTTGGCTCTGCGTGGAGGAGAGGAGGAGGCTGCCGTGTTTAGGTTCAGAAATTGGAGATTCTGTTCACACTTCTTACAGGACAGCAGAGCTCTCTGCATTGCGGAGCTGTAATTCAATTTTCAAGCTTTTACCCAGATTGATGATCTATTTATACTTTGGCCTCAGTCCAAGGGCCGGTGCTGTTTGCGTGAGTGGAAATGGCTGAGAGAAGGTGAGATGGAAGAGTTGCTTGTTATTAAATTGTCTTAATCTCCCACCTCTGTCTTCCTCAGTGCTCAGATCCTGCCCTTGCGCTGCGTGCTTTGT